AACTTCGTACACCTGAAAGTTAGTTTATCGTCTCTTCGAAGGGTTAACTGGGGGAGACACGTGGGCCTTCGGGTTAATCTCTTCGTCTCTCTAATGCCTATTTTTTTTCTATTTTCTCTCTCGCTGTCTCCTCTTTTTTCTTTTTTTTTCTGTGTAGGTAGGTAGGTCTATGTGTCTGTTTTTCTTCTTCCTCTGCTTCTGCATTTCTTTCTCTCCTTTATTCTATGTATTTCTCTCTCTCTCTCTCTCTCTCTCTCTCTCTCTCTCTCTCTCTCTCTCTCTCTCTCTCTCTCTCTCTCTCTCTCTCTCTCTCTCTCTCTCTCCGTCTGTTTACATCCTTATCTGTGACTGCTTCTCCCTTTCTATTTGTCTCCCTGTTCTATCTCTTTATCCGATTCTATCGACGAAATAAATAAAAAAGCATCGACTCCAAACCCCGCCTTCGTTAACCATTAGCATTCGATTCTCTTCCAACGCGATCCAATTAAACCTCAAACCGAATCGAATACCTTTCCCGCCATAAACACCACACAAAGGTTAACGCTTACTACACTACTACAGCCAATCAAACCCAGCGAAGGCCCCTTATTACACCCAATCTCCGCCTAATTAAGTGATCAGCATGAAGATGTCTCGCGCCCAATCACTCGCGCCCCGATAAGCAGTCGAGCCCAGGACCGGCGGGTTGTCAATTAGCCTTTATCGCCGCAATTAAGGGACGTGTAGCGGCCGCCACTGCCTGTTGCGCGTCACGTGACAGCCTCGTCACACGGGAATACGCGCGCACAAGGGCTATTTAAGTACTTGAATAGATACTTATATAGACCTTGCGCGCGCCGAGGCTCCTGACGGGCGCAATCGACGCTCATCGCCGACGGACTGGCAGCGGGATGGACACAGGCGGCGTCTGGCCACGGGCGGAGGAGGCAGAGCATTAACTGTGTGTGTGTGTATTTATATAATATATATATATATATATATATATATATATAAATATATATATATTATATATAAATAATATATATATATATATATATATATAAATATATATATTATAATATATATAATATATAATATATATATATAATATATATTATAATATATATATATAATACATAATATATATATATAATATATATAATAATTATAATATATATATATATATATATATATATATATATACTATATATATACTATACATACATATATACATATATATATATATATATATATATATATCTAATCTATTCTATATATCTATCTATCTATATATGTATGTATGTACACAGACACACACACACACACACACGTGTGTGTGTGTGTATGTGTGTGTGTGCGTGCGTACGTGCGTGCGTGCGCTCGTGTGTGTCTGTACCTGTACGTGTGTATGTGCTAATTGAATCTCACCTCCCCCCCCCCACTTGTCCCAGCACAATCCCATCCGACCCCGCTCGCGCACCAGGTCAGGGGTCACGGCGCAGAACAACCATTAGCCAGATGCTGCGGTCAAATAAGCACGTATTTGTTCGCGCTGACCCGCCCGCGAGTGTTTGTGCACGTGCGGTTATTTCAATTCGCACCCAGGAAGCCCCCCCCTGCTCGAGACAGCTTCCTGAGCCCGCCCGAGTCCGCAGGGAGAGACCAGAGTCCGGTCTGAGGGAGACGGCGAGTGGGAGACGGTGGAGGGATACCGGGTGAGGAGATGTGAGGGAGTCCGGGTGAGGAGTCCGGTCCGGGTGAGGGAGTCCCGGGTGGAGAGTCGACGACCGGGTGAGGGAGTCCGGGTCGGTGTGGAGACCGGGTGAGCGGAGTCCGGGTTTTGTGAGGGAGTCCGGGTGAGGGAGGACCCGTTGAGGGATTCCTGAGGTGATCAAGTCCGGGTGAGGAGACCGGGTGAGGGAGTCCGGGTGATGGAGTCGGTGAGGGGACCGGTGAGGAGTCCGGGTGAGGAGGACCGGAGTGAGGGAGTCCGGGTGAGGGAGACCGGGTGAGGGAGTCCGGTGTGGGAGGACCGTGAGGGAGTCCGGTGAGGGAGACCGGCGTGAGGGAGTCCGGGTGAGGGAGACCGGGTGAGGAGACCGGGTGAGGGAGTCGGGTGAGGGGAGACTCAGGAGTGGATTCCGGGTGAGGGAGAGGGTGAGGGAGGACCGGGTGAGAGGTGAGAGACCGAGTGAGGGAGGAGGGAGACCGGGTGAGGGAGTCCGGGTTGAGGGAGACCGGGTGAGGAGAGGTTTGAGGGACCGGGTGAGGGGAGTGACCGGTGAAGGGAGTCCGGGTTGGGATGAGACCGGGTGAGGAGTCCGGGTGAAGGAGATCGGGTGAGGGAGACCGAGGCGGAGACCGGAGTGAGGGAGTCCGGGTGAGGGAGACCGGGTGAGGGCAGGACCGGTGGAGCGGAGTCCGGGTGAGGGAGACCGGGTGAGGTCCGGGTGAGGGAGTCCGGGGTGAGTGGGAGACCGGGTGAGGAAGGATGTGAGAGGACGGGTGAGAGAGTCCGCGGTGAGGGAGACCGGTGAGGGAGACCGGGTGAGGGAGTCCGGTGTTGAGGGAGAGTGAGGGAGACCGAGGTGAGGAGACCGGGTGAGGGAGTCCGTGGTGACCGGGAGGGAGTGCCGGGTGAGGGAGTCCGGGGTCGAGGGAGACCCGGGTGAGGAGTCCGGGTGAGGAAACCGGGTGGCGGGAGAAGGTGTGAAGGGAGGACCCGGGTGAGGACGGGTGAGGGAGACCGCACCGGGTGAGGGAGCTCCTGGGTGAAGGGGAGACCGGGTGAGGGGAACCGCGGTGAGGGAGGACCGGGTGAGGGAGTCCGGCGTGAGTGGAGGGAGACCGGTGGAGGGGGAGTTGAGAGGGTGAGAGTCCGGGTGAGGGAGACCGGGGGTGAGGAGATCGGTGGCGTGAAGGGAAGACCGGAGTGAGGGGAGTCCGGGTGAGGGCGAACCGGAGTGAGGGAGACCGGGTGAGTGGAGTCCGGGTGAGGGAGACCGGGGTGAGGGAGACCAGGGTGAGGGAGACCGGGTGAGGGAGTCCGGGTGAGAGAGACCGGGTGAGGGAGTCCGGGTGAGGGAGGAGCCCGGGTGAGGGAAGTCCGGTGAGGGAAGCCGCGTGAGGAGATCCGGGTGGGGGGAGTCCGGTAGGGAGGACCGGGAGGGAGTCCGAGTGAGGGAGACCGGGTGAGGGAGACCGGGGTGAGGGGAGTCCGGGTGAGGGGAGTTCCGGGTGGGTTGGACCGGGTGGGGAGTCCGGGCGTGAGGGAGACCGGTGAGGGAGTCCGGGGTGAGGAGAGTCCGGTGAGGGAGACCGTGAGGGAGACCGGGTGAGGGAGACCGGGTGAGGGAGTCCGGGTGAGGGAGACCGGGTGAGGGAGTCCGGGTGAGGAAGTTCCGGTGTGGGGAGACCGGCGTGAGGGAGACCGGGGAGGGAGTCCGGGTGAGGGAGGACCAGGTAAGGGTGACCGGGAGACCGTGGGGGAGTCCGGGGTTTAGGGAGTTCACATCCGCCGACCGTGGTGGGGGGAGGTTCCGGGTGAGGGAGACCGGGGGGGACCGGGTGAGAAGTCCGGGTGGTAGGGAAGACCGGGTGAGGGAGTCCGGGTGAGGTGAGACCCGGTGAGGGAGACCGGTGTGGAGTCCGGGTGAGGGAGTCCGGGTGAGGGAAACGGGTGGGAGAGAGACCAGGGTGAGGGAGACGGTGTGAGGGAGTCCGGTGAGGGAAAACCGGGTGAGAGGCAGTGAGGGAGACCGGGTGAGGGAGTCCGGGTGAGGGAGACCGGGTGAGGGAGTCCGGGTGAGGGAGACCGGGTGAGGGACCGGGTAGGGAGACGGGTGAGGGAAGACCGGGGTGAGGGAGTCCGAGTCCGGGGGAAAAGGAGGGTGAGGGAGTCCGAAGTTGAGGGAGACCGGGTGGGGAGTCCGGGTGAGGGAGACCGGGGGTGGGGGAGTCCGGGTGAGGGAGAACCGGGTGGAGGGAGACCGGAGAGAGGGGAGACCGGGATGAGGGAGTGAGGTGAAGGATGTCCGGGTGAGGGGAGTCCGGGTGAGGGAAACCGGGTGAGGGAGTCCGGGTGAGGGAAGGACCGGTGTGAGGGAAGTCGGGTGAGGGAGACCGGGTGAGGGAGTCCGGGTGAGGGAGACCGGGTGAGGGAGACCGGTGAGGCGAGGGGAGGAGAGAGTGAGAGGGAGAGGGAGATGGAAGGGATAGGGAGAGGAAGGGAAGAGGAGGGAGTGGGAAGGGGAGGAGAGAGGGAGGGGAGGAGAGAAGCGGGTAGGGGAGGGAATGGCAGTACACAGGGATACATGCATATATACACGTACAGATACACGTACACATGCACGCATACAGAGACAAAAAGGCAAAACACACACACATGTGAACACCAAAAAACACACCTCCACTCTCCATACACACACAAAGATATTACCAAAAACAATACTCCCCCTTCCCCCCTCCCCCCACATAAAAAAAGTAAGAAAGATGATTAACCTTATGTCGAAGTCCTCAACCACTGCCTTCGACTGTCACCATTAACAAACAAACAAACAAACAAACAAAGCGCACACACACACACACACACACACACACACACACACACACACACACACCACACACACACACACACACACACACACACACACAAAGCATTATCATAAAACAACCCTCAGAAATGCCAAACAAACACACACACACACACACACACACACACACACACACACACACACACAAAGCATTATCATAAAACAACCCTCAGAAATGCCACAACAAACACACACACACACACACACACACACACACACCACACACAACACACACACACACACACACACACACACACACACACACACACACACACACACACACACGCACACAAAAGCATCAAACCCAAAACCCTCAATCCAAACAAAAAACAACAATAATAAAAAAACTTCAATCCAAACAAAAAAACAACAACAACACTAAAAAAAACGAAAAAAAAAAGGAAAAAGGAAAAAACACCCACAACTCACCGAGATCCAGCGTGAGGTTAACCTGATTGGGGAACTGGATCCCCTCGAACATGGTCTCCGACTGCCACCACGTATGGTTGTTGTTGTTGTTGAAATCCGTCAGGTACTGGGCGGGGTGGGCGAGCTCGGGCACGTAGGCATTGCAGATCTCGCACGCCTTCTTGGAGCCGTAGCCGCCCGTCTGGAGGCAGTATTCCTGAGGGCGCTGCTCGCCGCACGTGTTGGTCACCTCCACGCGCCGGTTGAAGGCTGCATTCACGAACTCGGGCACGCATTTCTGGGGGGGAAAGCGAAGGAGGAGGAGGGGGATTAGTGGGGTGGATTAGTGGGGTGGAGTAGGTGTGGGGAGCGAGCGGGGTGGAGGCAGGGGGAAATGAAAGATGAAGGGAGGGTGTTCATATGTAGGGTAGTGAGGGGGTTACGTTGAGGTAGGGAGGGACTGAGTGGAGAGGAGGGGGGTAGGAGTGTGGAGATTGAGGAGGGGGATGACGTTCAGAGGTGTGGAGTAGCGATGGGGGGTGGAGATGGAGAGGTGGTTGGTGAAGAGATGGTAAGGGGCGAGGAAGGGGCAGATTGGGAATTGATACAAGGGGCAGAGGAGTGTATCGATGAAGCGAGTGGTAGAGGGGTAGTCTTAGTGCGTGGGGTTGGGAAGAGGAAGAGGGTAGTGTGTGAGAGCGAGGGGGAGGAGTTAGCAGGACATGTAGTAAGAAGAGGATGAGGCGTAAAGATTGGGTGAAGGGAAAGGGGTCAATAGTAAAGGAGAGTGAAGACTTAGATGGAGGTGCACAACGAGTCAAGGTTGAGGCTCAGAGAAAGATTGAGGAGCAAAAGGTAGAGTGGTAAATAATAAAGCGGCATGAAGGGGAGAAGGGAGGGGCGATTCACAAGGATGGAAGAGAAGAGGTGAAAGAGCGAGTAATGACTGGAAGAGGAGGAATTGGAGAAAGAACAGAATGATGGGAGTAAAGAACTGGAAAGGGAGGGAACGAGAAGGCGCGGATTTAGGTGATTCGCAAGAAGACAGGGAGAAAGAGAATACTGGCAAGAGCAGAAGAGGAGGAGTGAGGGCGGAGGGGAGGTTCTGTATAGTTGAAGCGAGAAAGGTGGGAGAAAAAATGGAGATACGGAGATAGAGGGGAGTATTAGAAGAGTGGAAGAGGGATCAAGGATAAGTGAACAAGAGGTTTGTATTAAGAAGTGCGCTAGAGGATATGGATCAGAATTGAATGGATGAGTACAAAGAAGAGAAGATGAGGATAAGAAACGAAAAGAAGAGAATCATTGAGGAGGATGTGGTAAGTTAAAGAGAGGTAAGACGAGGAAAGGAGAGAGGCATGCATGTGAATTAAGACGGCAGGAAAGGTTCGAGGAAGAAGAAGGGTATGATAATTAAGAGAGAAGCCGAGGAAAAGAAGGAATTGAGAAACAATGAAGCATTGAGAATAGAGAATATCAGTAATTAAGTGATGTTGAGAAGGTTAGGAAAGACGATAAGAAGATCAAGAATGAGCAAGAAACAAAGAGAGAGAGAGAGAGGAAGAGAGTATATATCTAAAAGTAGCATGAGAGCGAGAGATGGATAATCATATTTTTCAGATATTATAGAAACATGAAGACAAAACATAAAGGTTCATCCGGCACATAAAATAAAAGTCTTACATAATAACCGGAACTCACATGAACATAAATGTGTCGCTCTTAATAATAATAATAACAAAAATAATAATATATAAACAATCAACAATACATAATGCTTCGAGATAAATGATATAATAATAATAATTAATAACATATAACAATAATATATAAAATAATCAGGAATAACTATGACTATATATCTCAAAGAAACAATAATAACAAAAACAAATGCAACAACAAAAAAATAATAATATCAATAAAACAATTACCTGTTAATAAAATAAATTAAAAATCAAGGATAATGATAATGTGTGCTGATTTGATGGGGATGAGATGAGGATGTAATGAACTAAGATATGAAGATAACTAGACAAAAAAGGAAAATGAAGAGCTAATTGAACATGATAAGGATGAAGAAAAACAACGAAAGATTAATGAAAATGAATGATAAGGATGAAGGACAGACTAAACAAAATATATTGAAAAAGAAGCCATGAATAATAAGTGATGAAGACACCGTACTACATATATATCACACACACTCACACCACATTGAAATCCATTGAACACGAAAGAATAGAAAACAACTAGACACACACACAAATTAAAAAACAAAAACAAACGGTATACTTAAACCCAGAATAGACAAAAATTACACCAAGCATCTCCACATCACATCACATCAGCATCACACTCACTCCACTCCGACCAGAAAATGGCTCCTGCCTTGCCCGACCCATGAACCCTAATATCGTGATCATGCCAAGCACATGCCTGTCATAGCAGGTTATTGGCAGGCGCTTGCGTTGGGAGGGGGAGGGGAGGGGAGGGGGGTGAGGGGAGGGAGGGGAGGGGAAGGGTTGAGGAGGGGAGGGGAGGGAGGGGAGGGGAAGGGTTGAGGAGGGAGGAGAGGGGAGGGAGGGGGGAGAGCGTTGGAGGGGATTAAGGAGGGATGGGGGAGAGGGAAGAAGGAGTGGGGAGGGAGAGGGAGGAGTGGGAGAGAGAGAGATGGAATGGAGGGGAGGGGAGGGGAGGGGAGGGGGAAGGAGGAAGGGAAGGGAGGGGGGAGAGGGGGAAGGGAGGAGAGGAGGAGACGGAGGGAGGGGAGGGAGGGAGAGGAGAGGAGAGGAGGAGGGGAGAGGAGAGGAGGGGGAGGGAAGGGAAGGGTAGGAATGAGAAGGGAGGGGAGGGTTGAAGGAGGGAAGAAGGAGAGGGAGGAGTGGGAGAGGGAGTGGAAGGAGGGAGAGGGAGGTAAGGGGAGGGAGAGGGGGAGGGAGAGGGAGTGGAAGGGAGGGAGTGAAGGAGAGAGAGAGGGAGGGGAGGGAGGGGAGGGGGGGAGGGAGGGATGGGAGAGGGTTGGAGAGGGATAGGGAAGGGATGGGGAGAGGGAAAGGAGAGGGGAGGGGGAGGAAGGAGAAGGGAGGGGAGGATGAAATAGATGAAAGGAGGAGGGAGACTGGAGGAGAGAAAGAGAGGAGTTTGGAGAAGAGAAAAAGAAAAAGGACTGGAGAAGAGAAGAGGAGGAGAGGAAGAGGAGATGAGAGACGAGGAGAGGAGAAGAAAGCAAGAGAGGAAGAGAAGAGGAGGAGAGGAGGGAGGAGAGGTGAAGAAGGAAGAGAGGAGGATAGGAGAAGAGGAGGGAGGAGAGAAGAAGAGAAGGAAGAGGAGGAGTAAGGACAGGAAAAGAGGATAAGAAAGGAAGAAAGTGGCGAGGGGAGGAGGAAGAGGGAAGAATAGGAAGAGAAGTGGCGAGGTGGAATAGGTGGAATAGAGGAGAGGAGGAGCATGAGAGACGGAGGAAGAAGAAGAAGAAAGGAAGAGAGGAGGAGAGAAAAAAGAGGAGAAAGAGTAGGAGAGAAGAAGAGGGAGGAGAGGAGGGAGGAAGAAGAAAGGAAGAGAGGAGGCGAGGGGAGAGCAGTAGATGAGGAGAGGCAGGAATAGGAGGAGAGGAGAAGAAAAGGAAGAGAAGAGGCGAGGAGAGGAGAAGAGGAGAAGAAAGGAAGAGAAGTGCGAGGAGGAAGAGGAGGAGAGGAGGAGATGAGAGACGGAGGAAGAGGAGAGAAGGAAGAGAGGGAGGAGAGAAGAAAGGGAGAGGAGGAGATGAAGAGACGGAGAAGAGGAGAAGAAAGAAGAGGAGGAGGATGAGGAAAAGAGAGAGGAGAGGAGGGAGAGGAGAAAAGAAGAAAGAAAGGAAGAGAAGAGGCGAGGGGAGGGAGCAGTTAGATGAGGAGAGGAGGAATAGGGAGGAGAGGAGAAGAGGAGAAGAAAGAAGAGAAGAGGCAGGAGAAGAAAGGAAGAGAAGTGGCGAGGAGGGAATAGGAGGAGAGTAGGAGATGAGAGACGGAGGAAGAGGAGGAAGAAGAAAGAGAGGAAGGAGAGAAAAAAAGGGAGAAGAGTAGAGAGAAAAGAGGAGAAGAGTAGGAGAGGAGGAGAGGAGGGAGGAAGAAGAGAAGAAAGGAAGAGAGGAGGGAATTAAGGTGTGTCAAACAACTGGTCGTAAATACGTAACTAGCTGAGGCTCTGGTGCTCATACTGATGGGCGCGCGCTGCTATATGCCTTGGCGCTGTCGGTCTGTCTGTCTGTCTGTGTCTGTCTGTCTGTGTCTGTTCGTTCCTTTTGTCTCTCCTTACTCTCTCTCGTCTGTCTGTCCATGTCTGTCTGTCTGTCTGTGTCTGTCGTTCGTTTCGTCTCTCCCTTACTCTCTCTCGGTCTGTCTGTCTGTCTGTCTGTGTCTGTCGTTCTTTTGTCTCTCCCTTACTCTCTCTCGGTCTGTCTGTGTGTCTGTGTCTGTTCGTTCGTTTCGTCTCTCCCTTACTCTCTCTCGGTCTGTCTGTCTGTATGTCTGTCCGTGTCTGCGTCTGTTTCTCTCCTTCCTTTTTCTCTTCTCTCTCTCTCTCTCTCTCTCTCTCTCTCTCTCTCTCTCTTCTCTCTCTCTCTCTCTCTCTCACTATGCCTCTGTCTGTCTGTCTCTCTATCTCTCACCATGCCTCTGTCTGTCTGTCTGTCTGTCTGTCTGTCTGTCTGTCTGTCTGTTCTGTCTCTCTCTCTATCTCTCTCACCACGTCTCTGTCTGTCTGTCTCTCTCGATTCGTCCAACAGAAGTAGCTTGAGTGGATACATGCGAACTGCATTGTAACAAAGTTTTTTTTTAAGTAAAGAAAGCTCTCAAACGAACTACAGTTTGCAATTGTTCATCACTATTATTTTTCTTTCGTGTCGTTATGATTATACATTCTCTCTCCCTCTCTCTCTCTTCTCTCTCTTCTCTCTCTCTCTCTCTCTCTCTCTCTCTCTCTCTCTCTCTCTCTCTCTCTCTCTCTCTCTCTCTCTCTCTCTCTCCTCTCCCTCTCTCTGTCTCTCTCTCTCTCTCTCTCTCTCTCTTCTCTCTCTCTCTCTTCTCTCTCTCTCTCTCTCTCTCTCTACTCTCTCTCTCTCTCTCTTCTCTCTCTCTCTCTCTCTCTCTCTCTCTCTCTCTCTCTCTCTCTATCTCTCTCTCTCTCTCTCTCTCTCTCTTCTCTCTCTCTCCCTCTCTCTCTCTGGTCTCTCTCTCCTCTCTCTCTCCTCTCTCTCTCTCTCTCTCTCTCTCTCTCTCTCTCTCTCTCTCTGTCTCTGTCTCTCTCTCTCTCTCTCTCTCTCTCTTCTCTCTCTCTCTCTCTCTCTCTCTCTCTCTCTCTCTCTCTCTCTCTCTCTCCCTCTCTCTCTCTTCTCTCTCTCTCTCTCTCTCTCTCTCTCTCTTCCCACACATACACACACACACACACATATATATATATATTATATATATATATATATTATATATATATATATATATCAATATATATCTATCTATCTATATACATATAAATGCATGGACATATACAATTATATATACATATATATATGAATAGATAGATAGACATAACTCTACCTCTTTCAACTCCCTCTTCTGTCTCTAACCTCCTCCTCCTCTCTCCTTTTCCTTTCACACACTCTTCCCTCTTCCTTAAATTCCCTCCTCCCTTCCTCCTTTATAAACAACATCTGTTTCCTCCCACTTCCTCCCTGTTCTTCCTCCTCTTTCGCTTCCTTGTTCCCTTTCCTCCCTCCCCCTCCCCTTCTTCTAAGCCCCTTCTCCTCCCTTCTTCTTTTTCCTCTTTCGGTCCCTTCCCCTCTCTTTCTCCTCTCCCTTCTTTCTTCTATGTCCCTTTTCTTCTCCCTCTTTCTTTCCCCTTCCCCTCATCCCTACTTTCTTACCCCCCTCCTTGGATAACCGAGTGAATAATGTGTATAATCTGAAGGCTGAACTACTGGGTGCTTTGTAATTGTCTCGAAAAAATGATGATGATGATTATGGTGGTGGTGGTAGTGGTTGGTGATTGTGATGATTGTGATGATGATGAGGATGGTGGTAGTGGTGATGATGGTGGTGGTGGTAATGGTGGTGATGATAATGATGATGGTGGGATGATGGATGGTGATGGCGATGATGATGATGATGATGATGATGATGATGATGATGATAATAATAGTACTAGTAACAATTATAATGACAATAATGACAATGACAACAACAATAAAATTAATGATGATAACAAGAATTAAAACAGGTTTCTCATAAATTCGTATGTGTGTGTGTGTGTGTGCAAGTGCGTGTCACAATTTGATATCCATGTTGCTTATCATCACCTAATTTTGCATCAAAATGAATCAAGTTCAACACCAGCAAAAATATAACATAGATAAAATATGGCGACCAACAAGTGTGACTTCAGTTAAACTGCGACTCTCCATTTATTGTGCTTTTAAACAACCCCGTTTGTGCAAGAAATAACCGGGGTCTCAAGTCTGCAAGACAAGAACTGTACCACTGAACCACCACAACAAACACGTATGTCTAAATACCATTCACATAGATTAAGATACAATAATACAGTTAAGGATACAACTACATATGTGTTTCAACCTAACCATACTCACCCCTTCCCCCTCCCCTCCCCTCCCCTTCCCAACTCGAAGCAGCGATATGGCCAAGGCTGAACGCGGGCTACCCCCCCTCTCCCTCTCCCCTCACTCCTCCCCCCCCCTTCCTTGTACCAATGTCCCGAACCGGAAGCCATATCGACCACCTCCCACATGACGAGTGTAAGCGCACTGAATAATTACTTTTCTCTCTTTTCTCTTTCTGTCTGTCTGTTTTCTGTCTTGTCTTTTGTCTTTGTGTCTGTTTTTCTGCTTGTCTGGCTCTGTCTGTCTCTCTTTCTCTTCTGTTTTTTCTCTGTATGCCTGTCTCTCTCGTTCGCTCTCTCTATCTCTGTCTCCGTCTCTCTCCCCCTTCCTTTTTATCACCCTTCCTCTCTCTCTCTCTCCTCTCCCCTTCCTCTCTCTCTCCTTTCTCCTTCCCTCTCTTCCCTTCCCTCTTCATCACCAGATATACATTGAAATGTAAAAAAAATGTATATCATCGACCCCACAGTCCCCTCATGTACCCTTTTTTTCGAATTTTCCTCCCTCTCTCCCTTTCACTAATTTTTCCTTGTTCATTCTCTCCCTTTCCCCCATTTCTTCATGCTTTCCTCTACTCGCTTCTCCCTCTTACCCTCTCTCCCATCTCTTTTCTTCCTCCCCAGCAATTACAACATTCAACACTTGCGTGATCTTACGACCAGCTCTGCGTTCGATCTTACGCAGCTCACACCTTGCGTTTCGATCGTAACGCACCAGCTCACACTTGCTTCGATCTTTGTTTTGTCGGGCGATGTTTTGTTAACGAAATGGAACAAAGCCAGTACTGAAGCAGTTGAGTGTGAGTACCCTCGTCCTTTTGACTCCTGTCCACAACTGTCCTACTAAGCAGCTGACATTACTCGCAACAGAATGCCCCTTTAAAGCTAGACAAGCTTCTGCGACAGATAGAACATAAAAATGCCCTTAAATTGACAGCTCTTGGCGTCAGATAGACATAGAATGCCCTTAAATGGACAGCTCTTGGCGTCAGATAGACAGTTTCGCCATCAGCATGACACCAATAGACTTTGCACGAGATTATTTTTATTTTACCGTTATCTTCCGGTGTTCGTATCAAGATAATGCTAAAATAGGACTCAGTGGCGTAATTCCACGGTGTAGATAAGCCTATAATATTTTTTTTCTTTTTAGAGTGAGTTTGATTTTACTTTTTAATACTTTAAGCTCTTTTTAGGATGTATTTTAAGTGAGATATGAAAAAAGGGGAAAAATGAATAAACAAGAAAAATGAATGAAGTAAAATGGAAAACAAAACAAAACAAGGAAACGGAAAAAAAAAAACAGAAGAAGAAAGCGAATAAAAGAAAGAAAGAAAGAAAAAAAAACAAAAAAACAGAAGAACGATCTGAAGCGAAAAAAGAAAGAAAAAAAGAAAACAAGAACAATAATAAATAAAAAGGATGAAGTAAGACTGAACGCGACTACTCTTTGTCAGCCTTTTTCATATTTCCTTTTCTCTCGTCTCTCTCTTTCTGGCTTTCTCTCTCTCTCCTCATTCTCTCTCCTCATCGCTCTCCTCTCTTCTCTTTCTCTCCCTCTTCTCAGTCTCTCATCTCTTCTTCTTCCTCTCCATCTCTCTCCTTCACCTCTCTTCATCTTTCTCCTCCGGCCTCTTTCTCTCTCCCCCCCTTTCCCCCCCTCTCTTTTCTCTCTTTCTCTCTCTTTCTTCTCTTTTCTCTCTCTCTCTCTCACTCTCCCATTCTCTCTCTCTCTCTCATCTCTCGATCTCTCTCATCTTCATCTCTTCTCTCTTCTCTCATTCATCCTCTCTCCCTCTTCTCTCTCTTCGGCCTCATCCCCCTCTCTCTCTCCTCTTCTCCCTCTCTCATCTCCGTCCCTCCTCCGTCTTCTCTCTACGTCATCTCTCTCCCCTCCTCTCATCCTCTCTCTCCTGCTCTCTCCTATCTCCTCTCCTCCCTCTCAAATCCTCCTCCGCTCTCAGACCTCACACTCTCTCCCCTCTCTCTCTCTCCCTCTTCTCTCTCCTCCACCTCTTTTATCTCATCTCTCTCGCCCCTCCCTCTCCCTCGTTCATACCTCGGATCGGTATCCTCCTCATCTCTCTCTCATACATCTCTCTTCTCTCGTCTCTCCTCTCCATCTCTCTCTCTCTCTCTCTTATCTCTCTNCCCCATCTCTCTCTTCCTCCCTCCCTCCCTCTCTCTCTTCATCACCAGATATATACTGAAATGAAAAGAAAAAAAAATATATCTCCCTCTCTCTCTCTTTCCCATCTCTCTCCTTCTCCCTCCCTTCCCTCTCTCTCTCATCACCAGATATATACTGAAATGAAAAGAAAAAAATATATATCTCCCTCTCTCTCTCTTTCCCCATCTCTCTCTTCCTCCCTCCCTCCCTCTCTCTCTTCATCACCAGATATATACTGAAATGAAAAGAAAAAAAAAAAATATATCTCCCTCTCTCTCTCTTTCCCCATCTCTCTCTTCCTCCCTCCCTCCCTCTCTCTGTTCATCACCAGATATATATTGAAATGAAAAGAAAAAAAAATTATATCATCGATCCCCC